AGACCTGTATGTGAAAAGCACTTACTGGTACATTTTGACACATGTAAATTTCATGCAAATATATTCAAAATGAATTTGTTTATCATTCATAAATTCTAATCCACATATTTATTTTTAAAATTCACATTATATTCTGACATATATACAAATGAGTTTGACACTTGAAAATAACTTAATAAACTTGAGGTTAGCAAGGCAATTAGATCAGACATCTGGAAATCATAAAATGTGGGAAAACAACATTTACATAGTTGTTACTTTAGAAGTTTAATTCCACTATTCAAAGAATAATTTTTACTTACTTGTCTACAAAGGCATATGGAAATAATAAAGTGTTCATTTTATTTTACAAAGAGGTGTGGACAAGACAGAATGATTTTTTAAAAAATAGTCTGGTAAAATAATAGAGTCCCCAACGCTGCTATAAACATTCACATCTATCAATTAATTAATTCATTCACTTAATTAATTAATATCCTTCCTTTCCTCTGAATGGGACCCAAGGTGTCTCACAGCTTAAATCAAAATAAGGAACATTAATTAAAATCTAATAATAAAAATATTTTTAAAATAATCATATTAAAACTATTTAAACCTCAGTACTTTAACAGCGATTCTCAAACTTTGGTCCTCCAGGTGTTTTGGACTTCAGCTCCCAGAAGCCTCAGCCAGCTTGGCCAACAGTAAGGAATTATGGAAGTTGAAGCCCCAAACATCTGGCTGCCCAAAATTTGGGAAGCATTGCTTTAAAATAATGCAAACTCATTAAAAATGTGACAACAATAAAGCAAGGCAGTCACATTACATTAGAAGAACTTTCTCCACAGCCACTTAGGGCCTTTGCAGACTGCCAGAAATAGTGCACATTAAATTGAGGCACTGCCCTGGCTCAGTGCTAGGGAATCATGGGAACTGTAGTTTATTGTGGCACCAGAGCTCTCTGACAGAGCAGGCTCAATGTCTCAGAAAAAAATACAATTCTCATGACTCCCTAGCACTGAGCCAGGGCAGTGCCTCAATTTAATGTGCACTATTTCTGGCAGTCTGCAAAGGCCCGTAGTTCACACAGGGTCTTGGAAATATAGAAATAGATACTTTGTTGGAGGACAGGTAAATGGTTGTTTAAAAAAGAAAGGATCACATTCCTTTGAAAACATGAAAGTGCTCCTTCTGCTTATAAATTAAATTCATCAAATGGTTAGGCAGGTACCATTTTTTAAACTGTTGAGAGGGGCATACATAGCTTCCTATTCTCTCACCTTTGGAAAGGAGAAAGTAAGGGGAGCCACTGCTGCCCACATTTGTTCATCCATTTTAGATCCCCTACAGAGCAGACCTCCCATGACTTTCCAAGTCCTACTGACCTGTTCTAGTCCAAACCTACTATGCTGGAGGGTGGGTTATTTTTTTTCTCTTCAGAGCCCCCCCCTCAAAAAAAAAAAAGTTTCAGTGAGAGAGAAAATGCTTGCACTGGCTCCTGGCTGACATAAGCAAGACCACACTGGATCAAATGCCACATCGGGCTCAGCCTGTCCCAGAAAGCCCTGTTTGCTGTCCAGTGGCTATACACATACCATTTTACTGGAATAAAACATGGTGACAGATATTTGCACATTGGTGCAGTGTAAGGAATGGATCCTGACATTAGGTAGCCCATGTGGCAACTACTGGAAATTCCACTCTCCAACTGTGGAGGGAACCATGGGATGGCAGCCAAATGGAGTTTCACTTGGCCCTAGGCCCCTGTGTAATATTCCCACCCCAGATCTGTCACCATGCCCATTTGCCATACAAAGTTGTGAAAAGAAAAACTGACATACTTCAGCAAAGGCCCACTAAAATCATACCATAGGAAACAGAACCGGTTTAAACCATAGGAAGCAGTAGTATGGCAGTGCTCCAGCATCCCAACCTCTGGCTGGCAAGAGTGCTGGAGCATGCAGAAAAGGCCCTAGCTCTTCCTGTCACCTGGAAGAGCTGGTCAAGAAGCCTGCAGTGTCACAGTGGTTATCTCTCACCACAAATGGGGATTAGGTAAGACTGAAAGTCAGTCCTTTGTTTCTGTCTTCAAGAGCCTATAGCCATCAAGATCATTACGAGCTGTACATAAATGCCTGCTGGTGAGTGTAATGGGATTTCCTAGGATGAAGAATCATATCCACAAAGTGAAACTCCTCTCCATCATTTCTTGTGTGCCTTCAAGTCATTTTTAATTTAGGGCAACCCCTAAGATGACCCTATAATGGGTTTTTCTTGGCAAGATTTGGTCAGAGGATATTTGCCATTGCCTTCCTCTGAGGCTGATAGGGTGTGAGTTGCCCAAGGTCACTCAATGGGTTTTATGGCCAAGCTGGGAATCAAACCCTAATATCTAGAGTCAGAGTCCAACACTCAACCACTATACCACTCATCCGAATGCTACCTACCCAGTGATGTAGGATGGCTTTTCTCAGTTATCTTTGGTCTTTTTTAACATGCAGGTTTTCATTTATTCTGCTAGTAGCTTAACTAGGGATAGGTGGCTGATACTAGAGGAAATAAGGAGTAGTGTTTGTTTTTTTAAAAAAAAATTAGCTTTAACTGTTAGGACACAAAAAAACCCCAAAATGCAGCCAAAGACAGTTTACAATATTCTGGCCTTTCTGTCACCAAAAAGTATGAATTGGCCCACTTCCTTCACCTGAATCCCAAACAGGTATAGTAAGATGCCCATTGTAGGTTTCTTTCCTATGTATTAGAACAATCATAATATTTTGTAATCTGGTGGACTGTTACTTCTCCCTTTCTTCCCTTTACTATGTGATGGGGTCAAGAAATTATTCATGTGCTTTTCCAATTCTTTTCCAGTGGCTGTTCTTGAGAGATCTCATTTTTATGTAAATTCAAATTTTCTATGACCTTGCAGAATCTAATTTGTAATAAGGTTTTGGGAAAGAAGTTTTAAAGAAATGGGTGCCCTCCAGAGGTTTTGAGCTACAATTTCCATGATCCATGACCACTGACCACATTAAATGAGAATTTCAAGTGTTGTGGTGCAAAGCATCAGGCAGGCAGAAGTTTACCTATTCCTTTGTCTGAACAGACCTTAGGTGTCTCTGATGTGCTCAGCATTAAAACATTAGACATATTAAACTTCATTTTCTTGTTGCTCTCGATAGTGTCCTTTTGCTTTGCTCCTATACATTTTTTGCTTAGGTGAGCCTGAAAGAAATTCTCTCCTGCTTAATGAGTAGATCAATTATTGTTCATAGAGGAAGATACTGTCTCTTTAAAGGTTATTTGAAGGTTGATTGTTATCTTATTGCTTATATCCAGGAAATCTATTCAAGCTTATGAATGAATTTGACCTTTTTATAGTTACTGGGAGAGAGAGAAAAAATAACAGAACAAAAGTTAATTTAGAAATCCACACTACAACACTTTTTCCCAGAGAAATCAAAGGGCATTCAAATCGATACCTGCACAATAACACTTTTGATGAATGTTTGTACCCAATTTTCTCATTTTGCCAACTTGAAATTGGAAATTTTGAATAGTTTTCAAAGACCATATTCTTTATGTGCTGTGAAGTATGTGGTATTCTGTCCAAACAATGCAAGAGGATAATCATTAGAGAAGTATCACTGGGCCTGAAAAGGTCAGTTAGTTGGAAATGTCAGCTTTCAATGCAACTATACTGGACCTTCGTAGGCAAGGATCCAATTAAAGGGACATGCCAAGGTGCATGGAAACATCACAGTGACCCAGAATAATAATAAGGTGTTGTGGAAAGCTTTAGTTTGTCTTTCAAAAGTAATGACACTACCTTTGCAAATGCCTTCACTGTGGTTATTATTTAACTTGATGAAATACACTTCCCAACAGGCACAACATGCATATAACAGCTGCACGCACACACACAATTCAGATTTCTATAAATGACGAGACTTGACAAAACCAAATGATAAGCAAAACACATTGAATGTTACTGTATCACAGGTCATATATTTTGGGCTGGGTTAAGGTTGAGTTCCTTCTTTATTAACAAAATAAGTGAAGGTAGGGTTGGGAGAGGGAGGTAGAATATAATTCCCATTTATTGCTAGTATTGTACAGAACATCCTATCGGGAGTTACTGATTTGTCCTCATATTGTGAAAATCTGCACTGTGTAGTTGAGATGTAGCTGAGGGTGCATCTACATGGTAAAAATAATGCAATTTGACAGTACTTTAAGAGGTGTAGCTCCATCCCATGGAATCCTAGGATTTGTAGTTTTACAAGGACTTTAGCCCTCTCTCTTAAAGAATGCTAGTGCCTCGCAAAACTACAAATCTCAGGATTTTGTAGGATGGAGCCACTGCAGTTAAAAGTTCTGTCAAACGGAATTATTTCTACAGTGTTGATGCACCCTAAGATAGTATTTTGGGTACAACCACCCACTAAATTAAAAATAGAATCTGTAGCAAAATATTCCAAGCAAAACAGAAGAGTATGTAGATTATTACAATATTGTCATTTTTCCTTACCCCGTAAATTTGTGTCACGTATCATACAGGATATTCATTCAAGTTCTTACCCTAGCAATTACTCCCTCTGCCATGAACTGTAACCCAAAATGGAACTCCAACAAACTGTTGACTCCAATCTTATTCTTCCATCCTGTTTGTGTCTCATTGTATTATCATGCTTCTTTGCTGCTTCATTTCAGATATTGGTGCCTTTTCTTTCACCTTCTTTATAATACTCCATAATACAACTTTGTTGTTTGCATAAGCTTCCTGTAGTGAATCAAGTTATGAATGTAAAAATTCTATTTTATCTGGGGGTCTAGGGTCAAAGCCTGACAATATATTGTATGGGTATAATTTGAAATGGTCCACTTTAATCTATTTTTGCCTATAAAACATAAAAGTTTTCTTTTAGCATCAGTCAATTCACTAAAACCTCCTCTCTCTGATAATTTAATGGAATCATTAAATCTTCCAGAATTGGAAGAGACCACAAGGGACATCCAGTCTAATCTGCTGCCATATATTTGTATTTTTGACATCTATTGCACAAGCAGCTGCCGCCATCAGGAATATCAGCTGCACCATACATTACCCATATGCTTTGTTAGTTGAGCATATAACTCAACTATCAGCTAGTATTCTTTATAATATTCCATTCAAAAATAGGGGGAAAAACTATCTCCTATTACTTCCTGTTATCTTAGATATCATTATGAGGGAAAATAACACCTGAGACTAGAGCTGAGTCAAAGAGGGTACACTTTTTGTTAAGATTCCTGGGGGTTTGGCATTGCAGGGTGTCAAATTTTTGTAGCCTGTGCCTAGAGATAGTAAAAACATTCAGGAACCCTTGCCCTCACTCTTGATTTGACTTCATTTGCCCTCAGGTTGCCAAATATGATTGGCTACATAACAGGATTATTACCAGAATCCTGTAGGGAAGCTACATCTTCCTTCACAGTCCTGGTGGCACAGTGGTTAAATCAGGGGTAGGCAACCTTTCCCCTTTAAGGGCCAAGGGACTTCAGCTCCCAGAAGCCTCAGCCATGTTGGCCAATAGTCCCATGTTGGCCAATAGCTCCTGGGATTCTGGGAGCTGAAGTCCCTCGGCCCTTAAAGGGGAAAGGTTGCCTACCCCTGGGTTAAATGCTAGTACTGCAGCCACAATGTTGTGAGTTTGATCCCTGCAGGGCTCCAGGTTGACTCAGCTTTCCATACTTTCATAGATCTGTAAAATGAGTACCCAGCTTGTTGGGGTAATTGGCTAACACATTGTAAAGTGCTTAGAGAGTGCTGTGTTCACTATGAAATGGTAGTCATGTAAAGTGCTTGCTAAATGCTAAGAGGACTTACATATGCAGGAATTAGAATTGGACACTTTTGTAATGTCTATATCCAAGAGGGCTGCTGTTACATTACTTTGTAGCAGAGTAGGCAAAGTAACTGCCTGTATCATGTTAGCAGGGATAAGAGATGGGACTTTTTCAGTGGTCTCATGCTAATGGAATGCCCTGCTTCAGGATACATGCACAGCTCAACATTTGTTTTCAAACAAAAACCTGATTGCTCCAAACTGGTTTTAACTGAATGTAGACACTGTTTCAATAATGTGATTTTTCTTTTCTTGTCATTGTTTTAAATATTATAAGTTGTTTTAGATATGTTTTTTATGTATCTAAGATATGCAGCATTCTGTGCAATTATGTTGTCCACATGATCTCAGATTAGTTTCTGACAACGCTGGCTCTTCAACTTAGTAAGAGAGATGAGCACCACCCCCATGGTCGGACACAACTTGACAACCTTGTCAACGGGGAATACATTTACCTTTAAGATATGCATATGCAGATGACACTATAATTCTAGCAGGAAATATTAGAGATATGTAAAGGTTATTGAAAAAGGTGCAAAAACAGGTTTACAACTGAACATTAAAAAAACTCCCCAAAATTATGACCACAGACAATCTATATGATTTGAAATTAGATAATGAAAAGACTGAATAGTTACGTTTTTCCATTCTTGGGCTCAAACATCTATCAGTGTGGAGACTGTAGTTAAGAAATCAGAAAAAGACTAGAACTTGGAAGAGCAGATATGAAGGATCTAGACAAGATCCTGAAGTGTAAAGATATATCATTAAATGCTAAAGTTAGGATTGCCCATGTCATCATATTTCCTATTTCTATGTATGCTTGTGTGAGCTGGACAGCGAAGAAAGCTGATAGGGGAAAAATTGGCTCATTTGAGATGTGGTCTTGAGAATACTGTGGACCACTAAGAAGACCAATGAGCAGATCAGGCCCCAACCCTCCCTGGAAGTAAAGATGACTACACTGAGATAGTGATATTTTGACCATATCATGAGAAAAAAAGGACTCACTAGAAAAGACCGTAATGCTTAGAGGGCAATAGGAAAAGAGGAAGCCACAGTCATGAATTTGTAGGAGTTGAGCAGAGTAGTTGAGGAGACAGGATGACTTAGAGGTCTCTCATACATGGGCCAAGGTCAACTCAAGAGCAGTTAACAACAACAAATTTTATATACAGTATTATTGTTTCCAGATTTTACAATCTACTATGTCCCACTCCTCATATTTAAAAAAAATGGTGGTGGAACACATGTTTCGTTTTCCTTAGGTGATCTTTTTCAGCAGGCCTACCTTGCAGGGTTTTTGTCATGGAGTAAAAAAATGATAGCAGAAAATGGCAATGATCTGATGAGACTGCTATGCAAAAGCATTTGTGCATGATAAAATGGCATGCTAATGATAATGAATTTATTTCTACTGCACCAGCAATGTACACAGTTACTTTGGATGGTTCACCTTTTCCCATTAATCATTACAAGAACTTTGTAAGTTAGGTTTGTTGAGTAGTAGTTACTGACCCAAGGTCATGTAGTAAATTCTATGACTAAA